AAATCCATGCGCTGTTACGCGCGTAAATCCATGCGCTGTGCTTCCAACCGCCTGCACTCCCCCTCCTCTCTTATTTTCTTTTGTCTTCCTCTCCTTCTTTTAACTTCACTCGCATGCACTCCCCTCTCCTTCCTCTACTACCCTCAGCTTCATCTGCCCGCACTTCCCCTCTCCTTCCTTTCCTCTCCTCTGCTAGATCTGCATACGCTTTCCTTCCTTCCTTGCCTTCTTTTCAGCTTCATTCACATGCACTTCCCTCCTCTTCATTTCCTCTCTTTCTCTTCCCATCCCTCTCCTCCTCTCTTTCTCTCTTGCTTTTTCTTTCCTACGTCTTCCTTTCTACCACCTTTTCTCCTCCCCTTTTGTGTCCATTCTCCTCTCTCCCCCTTCCTCCCTCCGTCCCTTCCTCCCTCTCTCCCCTGTACTCCAGCTCTCCCCCTTCCTCCCTCCTTCCCTGCCTCCCTCTCTCCCCCGTGCTCCAGCTCTTCCTTGCTCGCTCCCTGACCAGAGAGCGTGGACTATAGTTTGAACAGCTGTGGCTGGTCGATGCAACACTGAGCGATGTATGACCATATAGACACATATACACCGCCAGTGTGTGTGTGTGTGGGGGGGGGGCGTGTGTGCGCACGCGTGTATGGTGCGTGCGTGCGCGCGTTCGCGTGTGTGTTGGATGTTCACCCCCCCCCCAGTATTGAATATGGCAGGTATATATATATAGCAGGTATAGGTAATGGCAGGTATATATGGCAGGTATAGGTAATGGCAGAATATGGCATCAGGTAACGAGATATTACGTACCTTAATAATTAGTAATAGTTAAATATATTAGGTAATAGTTAATAGGTATAATGACAGGTAACTAGTCATTAGTCACAGGTAACATTACTTACCTTCAGGTAATGTCTAACTATGGAGTCAGGTAACAGGGTATTACATACCTTCAGGTGTTAGGTAATCATATATAATGACAGGTAATAAGGTATTACTTACCTTCAGGTAATGGCTGACCAGCTTGCGTACATCCTTGCGCTTCATGGAATTCAGCACGCTCTCAGGGACGTAATGCTCAAGCCCACATTCGCGCCTGCGCAGTAAGTAACTCGCCGTTATATTATCATAGAAATAACATAATTATGCTATTTAATTGATTAATTAATTAATTAATTAATGTTATACTAGTTAGTGTTTCTGTATGTTTCTGTGTTCATTAAATATGCAACTGTCGTGTGCAACGTCAGGGGTTCCGGGGTTTGTTTGTTTCAACGTGAGTGGTGTGTGGAGTTTGCAAATGAACATATGCTAATGAAGGGGAGGGTTGGAACGTCTCCGTGCGTCGCAGATCCAATCCCGCTACCCCTATATGTGAAGGAAACGCATCTTCGTTCCATTCCCCCCTAACGCTAACCCCAATACGTCGAATTCAGCCACAGCTTTTATATATCTACCCGCTGTTTCATCATTCTGTTTTTTTTTGCAACCGTACTATAGCGGCTCTAACACGTCTCTAAGACATAGCAATACCGCGCACCCGTCCATTCTCTACTCGCCAATGTTTATTGACACGGGGCCACGGCAGTTCGCAAATCAAACACGCTTCACATGATTTATTTAGAGAAATGAGCGGCCCTCGGTATTTTTTCATTCGCGTTTACTTTCGAGAGCATTCCGCGAACGGACGTTCGCAACGACAAAAATGTTCCATTAACGCGAACGAGAATCGAGAGAGAGAGAGAGAAAGAGAGAGAGAGAGAGAGAGAGAGAGAGAGAGAGAGAGAGAGAGAGAGAGAGAAGAGGGGGAGCGCG